GGCAGGTGCGAGCTTGCACACCACGGTGTTTCAAGCCTACCAAGCCAACCTGCTACAGGAGATGGTTCAGAGGGGGGGTCCCTCCGAGGAAGATCTGGCGGAGCTTCGCAGAACCACGAAGCGTTAGACGCAGTGCGAAGCGTTCCGCCAGTACCTCCCTCGCCGGTCTGGACCCAAGGCAGCTGAGGCTGCCAGGCGTAGGTCCCTTCCCTCTACGAGCTCCTACGGAGAGGAGAGGAAGCAGAGTGTCGCTTCTCGGGGGCCCCCCCGAGGAGCTGGGGCAGCGAGACGGCGCTCTCACCCTCAGCCGTCTGAGAGACGCGATCTGAGGACCGTCATCCAGTCCCGACGGAGCTCAGGGAAGACCGGGGTAGGGGAGTCTTTCTCCCCTCCCGCACGACTACAGTTCAAAACCCGCCCTCCAAATTCAACAGAAGAGAGGGGGTGGTTTGGACTGTGGTCCGCCCGGAGCAAGGTCCGGTGTTGGGACAGGAAGTTTTTACTCTGCTGAGGAAAGGGGCCGTGGAACGTGTCTCCCCCCCAGACAGAGACGCCGGTTCTACAGCCGGTACTTCATAGTCCCCAAGAAGGACGGAGGGCTGCGTGCCCTATTTTGGATCCGCGGGTTCTAACCGGTCTCTGAGGAGATTCAGGTTAAAGATGCTCATCATCCCCGCCACCGTGACGCACATCCAATCTGAGGATTGGTTCGTCACGATAGATCTAAAGGACGCCTATTTCCAGGTCTCCATCCGTCCTTCTCACAGGAAGTTCCTGAGGTTTGCCTTCGGGGGTGTGGCTTACCAGTATCGGGTTCTTCCATTCGGCCTGGCACTTTCCCCTCGCACATTCACCAAGTGTATGGATGCAGCACTGGCCCCGCTGAGGCTCCGGGGCATCCGGATTTCAACTTCATCGAAGACTGGCTCATCCTAGCACAGTCTCGAGAGTTGGCGGTTCGGCATCGAGATGTCGTTCTGGCTTGTCTGCGGCGTTTAGGGCTGAGGCTCAACGCACAGAAGAGCGTGCTGGCGCCCACCCTACGGGCTACGTTCCTAGGGGTTGCATGGGATTCGACAACGATGCGGGCACAATTGTCTCCGGCACGTGTCGACACCATATTGGATGCCGTGAAAGGGGTGAAGTTAGGCCACGCCATCACTATGAAACACTTTCAACGAGTGTTGGGTCTCCTGGCGGCTGCGTCCAGCGTAATACCATCTGGACTGCTGCACATAAGACCCCTGCAGTGGTGGCTAAGGAACAAGGGTTTTTCCCCGAGGGGAATCCTCTCCGTCTGGTTTGGGTTACGCGCAAGTGTCTTCGTTCCCTATCAGTTTGGAAGGAAACTTGGTTCCTGTCCCAGGGGCCCGTGTTGGGAGGGTCTTGTCGCCGGCTGGTTATTTCGACAGACGCCTCCCTCACTGGCTGGGGCGCGGTCATGGACGGCCGCTTCGCAAGGGGATCCTGGCAGGTGCATCGATCCGAGTGGCATATCAACTGTCTCGAGATGTTGGCGGTGTTCCAGGCTCTAAGGAGTTTCCTGCCCGATCTCCAAGGCCACCACGTCCTGGTTCGTTCCGAGGAGAACAACACAGCGGTGGTGGCCTATCTGAATCACCAGGGCGGTCTGCGCTCGCGCCCTCTGGACAGACTGGCGCGTCAGATCCTCCTGTGGTCCCAGCAGAGGTTACTATCGCTCAGGGCGATGTATCTCCTGGGGACGCAGAATCAGGGAGCAGACCTGCTGTTGAGGCAGGGGCTGAGGCCCGGGGAATGGAGACTTCACCCCAAAGTGGTGGAGCTCTTGTGCGAAGAGTTCGGCCCCATAGACGTGGATCTGTTTGCGTCTCAAGAGACTACGCACTGCCCGCTATGGTTTCTCTCGTTCCTCCAGCCCCGTTGGGTCTGGACGCCATGGTACATTCGTGGCCGAGGCTACGTCTGTACGCTTTTCCCCCAGTCGCTCTGCTCCCGGGGTTCTGGAGCGGGTCCGCCAGGACTATGTCGGCCTACTGCTCGTAGCCCCGTTCTGGCCAACCCGGGTGTGGTTCTCGGACATCATGTCGCTCCTGGACGGCCCGCCGTGGCGGGTCCCTCTGAGGAGAGACCTGCTGTCCCAGGCGCAGGGCCGGGTTCTTCACCCTTGCCCCGCCATATGGCGACTGTGGGTCTGGCCCCTGAGGGGGCACAGTACCTAGAGGCGGGTCTAACAGCCGGAGCAGTCGAGACCCTCCTGAGCTCCAGGGCCCCGTCCACACGGAGGATGTACGGCCTGAAGTGGAGTGTTTTCTCCACTTGGTGTAGGGAGCGGTCGGTGGACCCTGTTACCTGCCCGGTGGTTCAGGTACTTGAGTTCCTCCAGGACCGGTTCTCTGCTGGTCTTTCCCCTTCCACCCTCAAGGTGTACGTGGCAGCTATTTCATCTTTCCACACCCCTCTGAGGGAGGGGTTCTTGGGGAAACTTCCCTTGGTTGTACGTTTCCTCCGTGGTGCCCGGAGGATGAGACCTGCGACTCGGTCCAAGGTTCCCACTTGGGATCTGGCAGTGGTTCTTGGGGCGTTGGCTGAGGCCCCCTTCAAACCCCTGGAGTCAGCTGAGGCTAAGCACTTGACCCTCAAGATGGCCTTTCTCCTTGCTATCACCTCTCTGAGGAGGGTGGGGGAGCTCCAAGCGCTTTCGGTTTCCCCGCAAAGCCTGGAGTTTGCCCCAGGGAATATTAGGGCTATCATGCACCCTCGTTCAGGATACATCCCTAAAGTGCCTTCTTGTGCGGCAGGGTCCACAGTGCTGCAGGCATTTCATCCTCCACCTCATGTGACGGCGGAGGACGGGAGACTTCATCTGCTCTGCCCTGTCAGAGCACTGAGTATTTACACTCTGAGGTCCTCCCGTTGGAGGAAGGCTGACCAGCTGCTAGTGTGTTTTGGGTCTCCCAGGGCCGGGCTCCCTGCATCCAAACATACTATTAGCAACTGGATTGTTCAGACTATTTCCCTGGCCTATCAGGTGCGCGGTTTGCCTTCACCTGTGGCTGTGAGGGCTCATTCTACCAGAGGCAAGGCGGCCTCTCGAGCCCTCCTTTCCGGGGCCTCTTGCAGGATGTTGTTTAGCGGCTGGCTGGGCCACTCCGCACACATTCATTCGGTTTTACAGTCTTGACCTTCCTTCGGCACCTGGCACTCGTGCGCTCTCCTCTTAGTTGTGCCACTTTATTGCACACAGGGGCAGGTGGGGTTTTCGGCACGGTTTAGTGGGTATCTCGTTCCGTAACCGACGCAGTTCGAGTTCCCTCGAAGGGGAACGTCTCGGGTTACGTATGTAACCCTGGTTCCCCGAGAAGGGGAACGAGAGACTGCGTCGGTCTGCCGCACCTCTCTCCCCGCCTGAAGCGCCTGCTTCATAGTTTAAGCTAATGATGAGTGTGTACAGGTGTGCTTTATACTCCTCCGGTTATTCCGTCACACCTTACCGTTCTAGCAACAGGCCAATAGGATTGGAGTGATTTCATTCACGTTCAGACCTGCTTCGCCTAGAGGCGTTCCCATAGTGTCGTAACCGACGCAGTCTCTCGTTCCCCTTCTCGGGGAGCCAGGGTTACATACGTAACCCGAGACGTTCTTCCAAAGGTTCCTAGTTCTGGGGTATAGTTCCTTTGGTCGAAACGCAGCTTTACTTGTGTACGTTCTGTTCATATATTATGTCTGCTTGCAACATACCTGCAACATACACAAACTGATCGGTACATTGTTATGAGCATGGTCCTCACTGCCTTGTTGAGGCTGCTCCTAACATAACTCACTAACATAACTCACTAACATAACTCGTCTTGAAAAGTGGGATCTAACACTTACTTTTTAACAATACCCTGCTTGTGTACAGGACACTGGAGCACAATACATAATTAAACAATACCAAAAAGCAAAAGTATCACAAAACAATACATGAAGAAAGAAAAAAACAAACACCACTCCTGCACTCTAAACAATATGTAAGGGGGTGCCTGTGTTATGAACCTAAGAACACATTAACCTCACATAATACAGAGCTAGTGGAACCCAGTGCAGGTGTGTAGATGTAGCTGAGCATGGGGCAAAAACAAACACTAAGAAAACACTGATGACAATCGCATAAATCACCATTCACTCCCTGGTCAAGTGACATCGGCAGTGATGCAGGTAGTGTCCTCTGTTTCTGATTAGCGGATGCCTATCAGGCCTCAACTGTTACATCCATATGTGTGTAGTAATAATACCATAGTAACGTTAGGTCTGCCGGCTGAGACTTTGTAGCTGCGCTGTTATGTTTTTCAGAGCACACAAACACTGTGAACACACACCTGTCACCTGCCCAGCATGGTGCTATTACCCAGAAACACAGCTTCTACACCTTATCTTTACAGTTTATACACACAACAGGGTTAGTAATGTAACTCATGCATGTCAGCAACAGTTAGCCTAATATAGCTAACTTACTAATGTTATCATAGCTTACCTGCTGTACTGTCCGCTGCTTTCTCGTCAGATGGATAGCATTCCTTTCACTGTTGACTTTGTGTGAGAGGCCACATGGACAGAAATGCTGTACACTTTTAGTTATGGTATTATAAATGTTAGTCCTCCCTCCAGCCCTGCTCACTCCCTCTGCTTGCTTTAATGGCAGTGTGCTGGCAGTCAGAGCTCCCCCTGCAGTCCATAAAGTGCCTCAGCCGTTCAAAACCCTCCCTACAGCCTTTGGGTCACGCCTCCTCATTTGCATACACGAATCAAATCCTAAATACCAAATCCCCAATCCTGAATGGCTAAATGACTAAATGCCCAATCCTAAATATTAAATTCATTTTCGACTTCGACTTTTAGTTTTTGATTTAAATTTTTAGTTTTCAAATTAGACTTTTAGTTTTAGACTTTTTGTTTTAGTTCTGACCCAATAGTCCCTCCATACATTTCATCTACCATATGACTTTAAATAAGAACAAATCATCTTTTCTCCCCATTAGGTGGTAAAAGTGGCTGGCAGCAACATCTCCCACAAGCTCCGTCTCTCCAGTGTCAAGCCGTCAGACGAGGGCACGTATGAGTGTCGTGTCATTGACTTCAGCGGCACCGTGGCGCAGCACCACCGTGTTTGCGCATACCTACAGGTGAAGCCTGAGAGAAGTCAGGGGTCAGATGACATCAAGGTGTCAGGGTACCGGTCACAGGGGAAACACCCCCACCCCCACCACCAGACAGAGGGCAGGGACCAGAAGAGGAGATCCACTGGCAGCACCACTGACTGCAATGAGAGCTGTGTGCTTTAGAGAGGGCAGCCTGCCTGTCTGCATGTTTATGACTTATGTCTACAGAGGGACAGCAACATCACCAGAATTTAGGTATCAGAAGTAACTGGACCCTTTGTGATTCACATTTGTTTGTCTTTTAATCTTTAATATTGCTGTTTGGATGCCAGTGCTGTTGAATGCCAATAAAGGGCACACTTTTATTGACAGTACATATATGATTGTGTTATTTTTGTTGCTTTGTTATTTGCCTTAATTTGCATTTAGTTTATGTTAATGTGACAGTAAGGCTGTAATAACAGAGAACTTTGATTTTGTTATTTTGTCTGAGCAGGACTCTTCCAGAACCATTCTTCACAAAGTTACAGTACTTGTAAGCTAAGAGTCAGAATTATCACAGATATCATAAATAATAATTCACTGATACAGGCACAGAGCAGGCCATTTCCTTTGCAATGTGCCAGTTGTGTTGTCTTTTACCAAAACATACAGTATGCCTAAAGCTGCAGTATTTCAATGTAAATGCTTTCTAAGGAAAATAAAAAATAAATTAAGCTTTTTCATTCATCTGAAAAAAAGTGTATTGATTTGATTTATGTAATTAAAGTTCATACACTTTGAAAGAAAACTATCTGTACCTAGCTTTTAAAACCACAACAAGAATGTTTGTCAAAATAAAAATGTATGCCTTCATCACGTCAAGATATCAATTTTTGTGTATGTTCACACTTAGCACCGTAGACTTTTACTGTTATAATTAAAATATAGTTTTCTCTGTGCAACTTAACCAAATGCTTTAAAAAACACAACTATAGTGTGTTAATCACTCTAAACTTTTGTCGTCATTTTCTTCTCCATAATATAACTTTTTGCCTAAACCTTTATGGAGTTTGACATCTGAATCCCATTCTCCTCTTGACTGTGTTTGTTCAAAGTGCTGCTGTTTGGTGTCTGTTCTGTTAAATACATTTGTTTGAAATGACTTTGGTCTTTTTTTTCCATGATTCTGCTATTTATTTAGCACTTTATTAAATCAAGGTTTCAATGAATTTACAGACATTGAAAGGTGTGAACGCTCATTGGTGATGATACATAATACTAAGAAACGTCAGTCAATGTTGCTGTGACATCACTGTGAGTTTATACAGTATTTGTTTTTAAATGAATTACTAAAGACACTGAATACTTGGAGCATTTCTTTTGACACTACTGCTGTACTACTACTGTACACTACTTTGTAGATAATACATGATTTCAGCTTAGAGCAAGCAAAATACTTAAAAACCTTTGTCACGTGTACATGTTAAAAGAGCGTTGAGGGAGTTTTGATGTAACATAATAGACTCTTAGTTCAGTTTGTTATTCCATTTTATCCGTGGTTCTTTGAATTTCTTGGTTATCTTTACTGTGTATTGGAAGCAACATGCAACAGGTTAGTGATAGTCTGGTTAATCATGTTCTCTCTTGCAATTACATTTTGTTGCCAGAAGAGTGCAGCACTACTTGTAACTATAGCAAAACAAATGACTGCATTTGTCCACAGACAGGCATTGATGGTAGAACTGTTTTACACAAAGTTGGTGATTTAAATTAGGCAATAGGACCAGCAGTACAAACTGTATAGAGTAGCATGGCAGCATGCTATGAACAACAATGATTTTGCACTATTATTACAAGAAATGTAATGCGTGTCCCAGGTACAAGAAGTGTAGACTTAACAGTTTGAAATGAAGTTGTGTCCTTATTATATCCATATGTATGGTGGAATGTGGTGAAAAACTAAGACCGGAATGCTGTTGGAGGAGTGTCTCCTTTTATTCTGAAGAATTTCGATAATGGTTGTTGGGTTACTGCTATCAATGCTGTCTAACTTCTCTTCAGTAAATAATATATTCATGATTATTTTCCCATATCAGCCGACGAGATATTCACTTTATACCAACAACATCTAAGTGAAACAACCTCACAAACTCCATGCCAACCACCTCATCACCTTTGCACCTTTGAGTGTGTAAACGGTAGATTGTTGCATTAAGCGCAGTGAAAATAAAAATCTTCACATTGCATTCATGCAACACATTTTGTCCAACTAGGTCTGACATTGTGTAAAGACGGTCTGACTGGTTCATTATCAGAGAAAATGAGACGTGTAAAAACTCTTTTAATTGTAGCACTGAAAAAGTATTAAATAGTACATAGTACTTAAGATACTAATCATCACCACACCACATTACATATTCTGTTTTGCATGCACAGATTTGATTAGCCTTAATGAGTATAAAGCATCCCAGGTCACATTTAACTGTCTATGGCTCTGAATAAACACAGCTATACAATCAGTAATATACAGTGATCTTTTAAGGTGTTTGTATAGAAAAGCATGTTATGTATTAAACACTGTGCAAAAGAAGGTTAATTTGCTAATCTTTAGATGGTTCTAAAAAAAAACAGAGTAGGAATACTGCAGAATTAAAGGCTTTATTTTCCAATAATGACATTTCTGTAGCCCTTGACATGACACAACTTGTTGCTGTCGAAGTCGACCACCAGCTTTCTCAGCCCAGAATGGGTGGGAGTGAAGTACATCTTCACCTTGGCGTCTTCCCCAGGTCCCACCGAGGAGCCCAGCCTGTAGAGTAAATATTTAAATATTATATTTGTGGCACACACTGGAGGACCTTATCACTTTCCTCTGATTGCATAAATATTTAGATGATCAATTACAGCCGACATAGGGCTCATGACAGTCTTGACTATTTATGGAGATAGTGTTAGAACTGCGCAGCAAAAGAAGTTACAAAAAGGAAGTATGCTTTAATACTAGTTTCATCCTAGTCTTTTTTTTTTACACACCAGAGCTTTGTCCATAAATGTGCACTGACCATGAAAATGCATCACGCAGACACATCATGCAGCATTCATGCATTCAGAAAACCAAAGGTGCATTTATATTAACTAACTGTGTGGCTTCTCCTTACTCACTTGAAGAGATCAAAGTATACAAATCAACTCATAGAAAGTTTATTGTGAAGCAATCACCTCACTGTGTTTCCCAGATTTTCTTTACCAGTGGGCTCCTGACTAAACAGGGGCACATCCAGCCTGACACACATATCTCTACACTAAACTATTGATTTACTATTGAGGCCAAAAGAACCCATATGTATGAGTTTTTTTCTAATTTGTGACTGCTCCCTTGTGAGTAAAGAATAATCATCTCCAGCTGAATAAGGAGGGATTCATACAACCTCTCAGAGACAACGCGTCCCCCAGTGAGGTTGGCCCCCTCGATGCTGAAGCAGCAGTTCTCCAGAGGCTCTGGCAGAGGGTTATGGAGGGTGATCTCCGCAGCCAGCTTCCGATTCTCCTTTGGTTCACCCAGGATCTGCAGAGCACAGCCACCTCCAGGTGTCAGTTATTGACATTCTCACAGTAAGTACAATGCACTTTTGCTCGTACCAAGCTTTGTTTATACATACTGTAGGAATAGCTTGACAGTAGCCAAAAGTTTGGGCTCATTGTACTCACTCTCACTTTGATTTCAGGATTGTCCAGCACAATGTTTCTCACTGCCAGCGTTGACTCGCTAGTGCTGTAGTCCAGCAACAGAGCTGCCAGACGGATTAAGTTGTCCTCAGTGATTAGGCCACCGTACTTAGAGTAGTTCAGCCTTAGTGAAACTCGCCTCTCTAGAAGAACACATTAAATATTATTTAACATTTGAAGGGAAAAGTCAAGTGCATAAAGCATTTGCATGTAAACACCACATGGTGACTTGGCTCACCTGCTCCTGGTGCGAGTTCAACATTGAGCAGATCTTTAAAACCACAATTCCCTCCCAGGGACCCATTGTAGGACACGGCACAGGATCCAAACACCAGGCGGCACTTTTTCTCGCTCTGCGTGTTGTTAGTGACCACAGCAAACACGTCGAAGTCGCAGCCCTTCCTCATGTCTGATGTGACGTCAATAGTGAGGTGCAGGCCTTGGTTTTCCTGCTGGTGGAGCAGCTTGTTTTGGTGGTTAGCCTTCTTGAAGGCCTCCCGCTCTTCATCTGAGCCTGGCAATACGGCAGCAACAAAATCAAGCACTTAATAACAAAGTTGCCAAATTTGAAACCTATGTTTTGACATTCAAAACAGTCAACCATCCTGTAGAAGTAAAGGAGTATACACCCGATCTTCTTAAGAGTCAAGACTTTGTGTACATTAAAAGTAACACAACAAACACTGATTGGGAATGTAAGAATTTACACAGCAGCTGACCTTGTTGTGACCTGCTGGTATGCAGAGGAGGTTTGTATATAACTAATGCTGTAATAACATACACTATTGGTGAGGACCAACTAATGATGTTTTGTTTGTCTACTTGCACAGTAAATCCAGCAGTGCTCTCTACCTTCGGGGTATTTGTAGAGATGAGTGATGTCCTCTCTGGCGTCACTGCCCACACTCTTTGTGCTGATCTTCTGGCCCACCACTGTAGTGGTAGTGACCGTAGACGTGCCGCCGTCTTTTTTCTTCATGATGGTGATTATATCAGCGTTGACCTCAGCAAAGACAAATGGTGCATCATACTTGAACATGAGCTCGCCCTGCTTGATGGCCCTGACAGGAACAGGGCCGCAGCAATACACTCCTAAGGGAAGGAGATGGGCGTAGAAACAAAGTGACTGATCCACCATGGTGAGGATTCTTCCTTGATCATAAATGGCCTCATGGGTTCACTGGTGCAGAGTGATCATTACCTTCACTTTTCTCCTGAGGTGTTGGGTCACTGGCCTGCCAGCCGTTAAATTCAGATGTGAGGTCAGGCCTGGTCATCCAGTTCTCCACCCAGCAGTGATAATTCCTACAGAAACAATGCACACCATCAATACTTGGTAAACATTTGTTTTGGCACTTTAGTAAAGACATCTCATTAACTCTACTTGTTCTAATGTCATTACCAAATCTGCAGTAAACGGGTTAACTTCAAGTCACAAGTCAACCTCTTACTGTGTAAATCTCTACTGTCACGGTTAGTACAAAGATAATTTAGATTGCAAAGTGTATGGTCAAATTGTAGTCAATAATCAAATCAAGAGGATGTTTCAAACTGATGGGAAGGGTATCTGATTAAATATCGTTCTGCACTGTTTATTCTCACTCATTTAATTTGACATCACACCATATTGAGGTATAGCACAGCAATTAAAAACTCACATGCATTTTTTTTCTGATGCCACATTTCAGAGAGGAAGAAAACAACTTTAAATAGTCTTCATAGTTCCTTACATTTCAATTCAAAGACTTCACAGCAGCCCTGACAATCTACAACACAACCCTGCCTCCCACAGTAGTATGAAAGCACATACATAAAACTTGTATGTTTTTACCAGATCATTTCTCCGGATTGAATGGGCTCTCCATTTTCGTTGATGTAGCGTTCAATCACCAGGTTGCTGTTGTTGTCATGGGCTGAAAGGTAGTTGGTAACAACTCGGCAGGGAATGCCAAGGGCTCTAGAAACTAACATGATATGAAACAAAATCACATAAGTATTGTGACACTAAGAGGAGGTGTAATGTATATCTCAACTGTGTGCTTACATAAATGGTGTTACGTTGCGTCAGTTTGAGACAAATCAAGCGTGTTTCCAATGATAGGATACCAAGCTCCACCACGTCTTATCTTACCTGAACAGGCCACTGCAGCAAACACCCAGCACTGTCCGTAGCGAACAGGCTGACAGGCTTGTGTGTCCCAGTTGCGCAGAATCTCCACACTGCCTTTCCAGAACATGGGGCTGACACCTCCTTCATAGCCATCTGTCCATTTTCCCAGCAACACTCCTTTGTCGTCATTACAGTTCACCTAACAGGTAAACCCAACTTTTTTTTACTGATGAAATCTAAGCTTATTATGTTTACTTTTAAGTTACATTATTGTTATCCCACAGACTATACTGTAACCAATCTATGCTAATAAAAAAGCAGTACAT